CGAAGAAAAATTTCCCCGAAAAAAACCATTCATCACTGACATTTCTTCAATTACCAAAAACAGACAAGTTGTTTTTATAATATATTTGAGATTTTTTCGTTCTTTTTCAATGATAGAAATAAAAAGATATTTTGAAAGTAAAAATTATTCTCTATATAATTAATCGTATCGAATCCATTTTATCAAAGTAATATTTCGTCACATATTTAATCAAATAAAAGAAGATGAAAACATGAACTTTTACATTGAAAAGATTGAGAACAATCTAAATACTTCACATTGACTGTTTTATCGTGTTGATCGAACTGTTATTAAACTGTCAACAGAAGTTTTTGAATATTTCGTCGAGGAAAAAAAATAAAACTTTTGTTTTTCAATTCATATACCTTAAACCAAATATCTTATTGAACTGTCCTGCAATCCAAAACAGTAAAAATATGGACATGGGTCTAGAGTTATTTTTTATAGCATAGGTGGATGTAGATGTAGATAATCAATTTATCTACACTTTTGGATTGCCGTAGATTTGACAAAGATTCCCAAATAGATTCACATGAATTTCTACAGAGTTAATTTTGCGATTGTTATTGAAATAAGTTTTCCAAGTTTTTGATTGCTGTACAAATATTTTAAAACAAAAAAAAACAATTACACATTGTAATAGAACTTATAAAACTTTCTGTCATCCAATACGTTTATCTATCACCTTGCATTTATTTGTTGAAAAATAATTTGAATATAGCGAATGAATCTTTGGTAGATAAGTGTTGAAATTCGTTACTTTTTCTACTTTCTTCAATTTATAATTAACTTAAAATGAGAATAAATTTTTACCAAGTATTTTTAAATTTCGATAGAACTTGAAATTCTCTAATATCCTCTATATGTATATTTGTCTTGTATTGCATTGATACGCTTAGGTATAATTTAATTTTATTATCAATACAATGTATATTTTATTGTGATCAACAATAACAAACTCGAGGAGTAGTGGTTAATGGATGACGTATAAAGAAACAGGTCAAAATGTTTTTCTCCTTTAAAGGTACATTCCAACATACTAGACCACTTTGTTTTAGGCTTATTCAATAGAGAATAGTCGACTTTAGAAAACGACCACCTTTCTTTTTATAATAACTTTTTTTTTGTCGTCGCAAAATTTAAACGACGAACATCCGCTCAATCGATAAAGTGATAAAAAATTTTTAATAAAAGGGTGTGGGTCTTCTCTTTATTCACATCCACACCCACACCCAATTAGCCCATCTGTTGCTCACTTAGGCAGTATGCTAAACAATAGTCTTTATTCCTATCTGTCTGCATAATCAGAATTGGGTGTTATAATCTAGTTTCCATAATTAATTTGTGTACTGATACACATTGGTTACATGATGTCTATTCGTCGATAGATTTTTAAAAGTTTTGACATGACTAAATGAACAATGCATGTTTTCATTGCATGCCTAGTGAGGTCAAAACAGAGAAAAGTCAATAGGAATCATTGTTTTAAGGTTGATGATGACGACGTCGTGGCTGTTTTCTTTATCTCTATCAACAGCATAGCAGATATTTAAACTATGCAAAAAGAAAAGAAATAACATTCAATGATGCCAAATAATCAATCACAAGGTAAGATGAAAATTTATTCCAAAAGTTGAATAAATATTTATTTTATATAGCTTACAATAAACCATATTGTTGAAAATCTCGAGTCAATAAGAAAATCTTATGTCACGTATGTTATAATTATCGAGTAACTCAATTATTTTCGACAAAATATTGTTCTTCATCGATGCTTCATCAAGTATGTGATGCATGTGTACATCAACATATTGTATCAGCCCTTGAATCATGTTTAATAAGTTCTGTAACATGTCCGCAATTGGGTTGTCGTGTTATTATTTCACCGTCTGCTATATGTGATATTTTATTAAAATATAACAATCATAATTTATTAAATAATTATTTACGTAAACAAGATTGTAAAGGATCAAGTGACGAGTGGGTTCAACGTTTTACTTTACGATGTCCAAGTTGTAATGTACCAATCCAAAAAAATGGGAGTTGCAATCGAATGCTTTGCAGTCGATGTAAAAAACACTTTTATTGGACAAAATCAACTATACCTAATGAAACTGATGATCTAATGGTCGAGAATATTTACTTTGTGATAGGATTTATTATCTTGGTAATTATTCTTGTCTTTCTTTTATTCTATTATATATTTAAATAAAAAATGAAAGTCTTTGAAAAATAAGAATATATAAAGAATTCTTTTAATTCATTTCTCACTCATTGAGATTTATTTTTATTAGCCAATATTTGTGGAATACATATACAATGTAATGTTTCATTTCTGCAATATAAAGAACAAGATGTTTTATTACTAGATTAAAATTCTTTTCATTATATTCTAATCAATAGTGGATTTATAGCTCAATATCGTCTTCCTGAATTGTAGTGTTTATCCCAAATCAAACTACACTGGTAGGCGATAATCAACAATCATACATTAGTATAACAAATAGATTTAATTGAGCAATATATGCTACACAAAAGATCACAGATAAGTGCATTTTTTTTACATTCATTCATGTGATCCAAATTGTGGATATATGAGTGATGACGAATTTATAATTGTGACCATTCGTAATGTAAATGCTGGCGAAGAACTTACCTATCATTATCATTGTATAGATTCAGAAGCAAGTTTATGCAACGGTTTGAAATATAAATGTGGTGCAAAAAATTGTGTTGGTGAATCAAAATTTGACTTTTGGCATGATTATATCAAAGAAAAGATTAGAAAATTAGGAGAAGAACAAATATAGAATTCATAATATTATTAATTTTCATTCAGAAAATAAAACTTTGAATCGATAGTTTTGTTTGTTTTTCCCTCATAAAGATTTGTTCTTCCCTTGTGACCAAGTAATAGCAGATAGGAAAGACGACTGAACTTTGAGAGACTTATGGATGACATTCTCAAATATTAAGGATCCAAACAAAATAGATCTATCATTTAGTTTTTATCAAAAAGTCGAACTATGAGTAATTTCACTATACAAGACAATCAATTCACGAATAGCGGATTGTTTAAGACTGACTCAGCGATTAAGTATTTGAATAATTTATTGTTTAGTATGTAATTTAGAGATGTCATTGTTTTCTTGACAACAAAATTTTATTTTTGCTGTTAAAATCGAATATAATTTTATTGTTATTTATTGTTTGAAAAATTTGAAATGTTCTTTGCAATGTTGCATTGCTTGTGTTAGATATCGATAGAAATTTTTTTTATGGACAAAACTGTTTTCTCGTCTAGAATACATTCGATGTGAAAACTTTGAAAATATACTGGAAATTCTAGGGGATCCACTTTGCTATTGTCTTTTCAATAATGAAGCAAAAATCTAGCGAAGTCTTATTTTTGAAAAAAAAACAAGAAAATTCCGTGAAAAAAGGTTTTTTCTCAAATAAAAACAAAGTGATAGTCTCAATGAACCTACTCTAATAATGAGTATCTTTTGGTGAGCATATTCATCGCCAATGTAGTAGTTCAATTTTTTTGTTTACAGTTAAGAAAGACTGTTTGAAGCTTTTGAGTAGCCTGTAATCTATCTATTTCAATAATATATGATTGGAGATGCTATAGTAAGGGATTATTATAATAGTTTGTCTCGATTGAGTTGTCAGTTGTGAAAATTGTTTTGAATAGAAATATTGACATCGTTACTTTATAAGATGTTGTTGTTAATTTTCATTTTGACTCTTTTTTTTATAAGGTTTAATGCAGTATCTGTGTTCTCATATTGTATATGTACAGGCTTGATATAGAAATCAAATGAGACGACAATGTATAGAGGAGATAGAAGATTTACAAGATATTTTTCGAAGAAATGTGGTAACGAATTTCGAATTTCAAAAAAATCTCAGTCACCGTTTTTTGTTTAAATAACGTTTAATTATTCGATGCTATAATAAACTTTCTTGATAATATACATATTAGATAAGAAAGCAAGATCCTATATTCTTAATAAATGCAAAGAGATTTCACAAATTAGTTATATGAGAAGCTGAGAGATAGAGAAAAAGTTATTTTAAATTTTTAAAAAGAAAAATTTTGAGAGATGCCATTAAAACTTTTTCAGTTCAAAGGAAAACTGAAATAGTTACTCATGTTTAAATAGAAATATAAGATTATAATCAAGGACATGGATCTATTTAATATGAAGAATATTTTTATCGAAAAGTTACAGAAGAAAGCGACAATCATTGAAACTGTTTTGTTATTTTTGATTGTTAGAAATATCACAGAGTAGATTTATTTATTTTACTTCATTAGCCTTTCTAACCATTGAACTGTATGAATTATCTCAAATTGTGATCGAATGTTTATTGAGAAAGACTTTATAGAAAAATATAAGCAATCAAATAGTATAGATTTCTATTGATAGTAATATAAATTGATCTCACTACTCTAGATCAATAATAATAATAATCACAAGTAAAATCTATAGTTTTCATGTTAACATGTATTTTCATACCTATCTATCGTTCGAAAACAAATATTAGCGAGTTTTGAATAGATTTTTGAGAGATATTGAAATTAAATTTTATTTACTATGCATACTTGAAATATAATTGGATGTAATAGTTTAATATAAAAAGAACACTTTTTTCTCTACTAGAAAATAGGTGGAACATATAGTGTCCCACCGTCCTCAAATGGTTAAAATTGTTATCTTTTACACAATTTTCAATCAATTATAATCGAAAATAATCAGAATAATCGATGAAATTTTGATTTTTTGGATTATTTTTGATTAAAATCGATTAAGAGATGTATGATTTTAATCTGATTATTTGCCTAATTTTTTTACATGGTGTTCTTACTGCAAAGACACAAATAGAGAACTTTGAGATAAAAAAGAAACAAAATATTGAAAAAATCTAGTTTAATAAATGCAAAGTCTTTGGTTTCTATTAAAATTTTCAAACCATATAAATACAAATTTGGTCCTCAAAGAATTAAAGTATTTTAAGTCTGTCTCCGTCAAAACAAAAGTATTAAAAAATTCTTTTTTATTAAAATACTCAGAATTATAACCTCTACAAGTGCTGAAAATTTCATTAAAATCGGAGATCACTTTTGTACAACGACGTTGGAATAGTATGAAAATTCCTAGTTATAAAACTAAAAATGTTCGATCTCCTCAGAAATAGACCATAAGCACGAACTCTTTCTATGATAGACATAGTTCACAAAGGTTTGCAAAATGCACTATATACCTTGGATGAAGAGTGCTTCGGCACTTGGGAATGTTTCCTCGTCAGTTCGGAAACACATATTTCTTGTTAAACAAGCAACACTATTTGTTCCTGCTATGGGGGCGAACATGAGAGTCCTGACATTTCGTCACATACCGTTCTTTTCTGCTTCTGCACTTCCATTCGTTACACTATCTTTATCTTTCTCCTCTCTCTCTCTCTTATGCTTGCTGCGCGATTATGATAGTCAGTTGTGAAAGAATAAATTCAGAGAAAGTAGCACATAACAGTTTCCATCACAGATGCGCCAAAGAAAAAAAACGATTTTTGCTGGGAAAAAATAAAACTGTTCTGAAGGTAGAGGAACATACTTTTTCCCCGTCGCCACATCCCTGGCTCCCATAAATATATCAAAATCAATGACAAAAAAAATTTTCACAATTATATTATGAATCAGAACAGTAACTTCACAATGTAACAAAAAAGCAGAACGCTAGTAAGCACATAATGATAAGCAAGTAGATCAGATGTTTGAAGAAAGTGACATTCTCTACTCCATGAAACAGTGATTTTATCACTATTTAGAAGAGCATTTGAGTTTTCTTAAATTCTTGTCTGTAAAGTGGTGATGATACAACAAAGATTATAAAAATAAATGCTGCCGGAATAAATGAAAGAAAATAACCAATAAGATAAAACCAAAATAAATGAGATGATTTATTACAATCCAATATAATTGAAATAATAAAATGAGGTAATGTTAAAATTAAGATAATAGCAGGACTAATTAGAAGATATTTATATTTTTTTAATTTATGTCTAAGCAGGATCAAGAAACTAAGACTAGTTTGAGTGCCAACTCGTTGATGAGTAGTTTTTATGATAATTAATAATGCTGAGAGTAGATTGATAAATAATGGAGCAAAATAATGAAAAAATGTCCAAATTGAACTATAGGTTTGTAACCATGATGAATAAGTAACAACACACCAACTTCGTTCTTCTATTTTATCTTCAAATACATGAAGCTTAACTAATTGTGTAATAGAAAGACAGAAGATAAAAACAAATAATAATATAATTATATAATAGGCAATTTGTTTGCTTTTATTCTTGTTAAAATAAACTCCTTGAAATACAGAAACTGTTCGTTCTATTGCTACACAAGCATTAAGCCAGTTGTCTAAGTATAAAAATATTTTTAGAAGAAATTCAATACACAGACAATTTGCCTTAAGAATAAATTGTCGAACACTCTGACCAAAAGAATCTTGATGTGAAAGAAATAGAAACCAGAATTTAAGTGTAAATAAAATCACAGTCACTAATGAAACAATCGATAAAGCAAAAAGATATATTCCACAACCGACGTTCTGTGTTTTTTTTCTTGAAAAAGTCATTATTGATAAAATACTATTGATAATACCTATTACAAATATCAAGATTGTGATAACAACACTCACTTTTATTCTATAAGATTGTTTAGATAAGATTGTATTATGTTTAAACTCATAACCTAAGATTTCATCCAATGTTGAACCAAGACCTTTTGCATAAAATTGACATTTATTACCAAAAAAACAATTGGGACATATACAAATCCTTGTAGATGGACAAATCGGATGATCTTGTAAACATTGTGCTTCATTTGCACAATGATTATTCAATATACATTGAAAATTTCTATCATGATTGAATTCCATACAATTAGCATGATGATCATTTGTACATAAACAAATATAGAATTCATCGATGAAACAAGTCAAATCAAAACGACTTCGACAAAGATCATAATAAAACACTATATTCTTTGATATTGAACCATTGTTAATACTGTAGAATTAAATAGTTGTTCAATAGGAATACATTCTTGTTTAGAACTAATTAATGTTGAAATATATGTCTTTGGAGATTGCTGAAGTACAGCAACATAATATTTATCAATAGCTATAATAATTACTATATGAAATGGTATCATAATATGAAAAGTGACGATATGTTGAAAGAGACTTAATTTTCGAAGTATAATTGTTTTGATCGGTTCAGATTTATTAGAAAGAGTAAAGAAACAAGCCACGAGATATGATGGAATATGGATGGCATCTAGAGAAACATCGAGTCTAAATTTCGATTTTTCACAGTTTCTTCCAAAAAATCGATCAGGACAAATACAAGTATAATCACTTTGAGGAATAGTCACATCAGCTGGTATACATTTGCCATTATTTTGACATGCATTAATTGGACATGTTGATGTCAATAGACATTGAAAACCAAATTTATCTAAAGGACATACACATATCGATTGATTATTTGCTGATCCTATACAGATTGAATTGGACGAACATGTCTGACAGTTTATTGGCACATTACACTGAATACCTGACCATTTAGGAAAGCATCGACAGAAATATTTTTCTTTGTTTAAGTACTTTACACATTCGCCATTGATGCAAGTAACGAAGCAATGAGACGAACGTTGAATTAGATGATTTGATAGAACCAATGAAACACCTAGTCGATTGACAGGCAAAAAAAGAAAATTAATGGGAAAGTGCCAACTTCCAATGTATATCATTTTATTTTTGTCGAATGTGTCGATACGTATACTGTAATTCTTGGAAATGTTTTTTGGTCGTGTTGAAAATAACAAATATCGATTTAATTTAATACTACAGTTTTGTTTTGCTATGTATACAAACTGATCATACGCATCAATCTTTTGTTCTTCATCATTGTCATCGATCAACATAATAACAAAAGCATATGTAGCATGTGTATCAATTGAACTTAATCGTAATGTTAAACTAATTCGTTGATTTTGATATTGACATAAATGACCATAATAGCTAGGTGGACACATACATGTCTTATCACAACTATTGTTTTCGATCAATGTATGAATAATGAGTCCACGATTGCAATACCATGCCCACAAGTTATCTTTAACTCGAGATGCATTGATATTTACCAAAGGATGTCGTTCTATTGGCCAATGAATGGTTTCATCAAAGATATTCTCTTCTGATGAAGGATAGTTGGATGATGTGTGCACAGAAAAGTATTCAATTCTATCATTTTCAGCTTCGCTCAGTCCACAAAGAACTTCTTCAATTTCACTACGATTGTGTACTGATCCTTTGTCACATCTAATTGTAAGATTGTTGCAGAAATGTTCATCATCACCCAATGGACAATTCAAGTTATTGTCACATAATTTAGATGATTGTAAACATACGTCATCGTTTGAACAGCGAAACCAAAGAGAAAATTCTCTCGTAGGATATTCCCATCGACATTCTTGTTGTTCATCTGCTGCTCCAAGACAATCGACTTCTTTTCCATCATTAACTTGTTCAGCAGACAAACAAATCACTGTGTAATTGATAGGAGATACACATGCATAAGTCCCTGAATGACATTTTGTTCGACTACAATTGTTTTCATCTCGTCCATCTGAACATGACCAATAGCCATCACAACGTGCGTACATATTGTCGCAAAACCAATGCTCGCATCCGGACTCATCATTCTGTATTTTTCCGTTATTATCGTAAAAACAATATTCTTTGATACCATTGCAAAATCTTTGAAATGGAATTTTCTCTTGCATTAGGTCACCCTGCAGTAGACAAACATCGGCTTTCAATAGAGGTGACCAGCACTTATTTGCGTTGCGACATTGCACTCGATATGAATGTTTAAGTAGACAGCTATTTTCATAGTACTCATCGTCCTCCCCAAAACAATCTATGTTTGCATCCATGATACGATGTTTAGAAATAAACTTCGAGGAGTTTTGGCAGTGATATAATGACGGATGATCACTATATTGTGTTTCATTATAGAAGATAACATGAGAAGTCGAACAAGAGCGAAAATATTGTTCAATGACTAAAATCATCTCAATCCAACCGTTTTGAATTCTATCCAATTCCAGTAACAATGTATGATTCTGTAGACACGTAAGATTTTCATGAACTAATTGAGGTATGATAGAATCACATAATTGTTGATCATAACAAATATAATCGGGTATAAAAAACAGTTTCAAAGTTGGTTTCAAATGACAATTTTCATAGAAGAAACGAATATGAGCAGAATGAATTGGAATAATTGGAAATTGAAAGAAATAATCACATTGTTTCAGAAACTCATAAGCTAAATTGTTCATTATCCATCGTTCACATAAAGTTCCATTAACTTGCTCAACAAGTTTGGTGAGACAGACCATAGCAGTCCAGCATTCATTTGTCAGATGACCTTTAGCTGTCATTGATTCTATCAGTAGTACATGGCGGCCATTGGGACATGTTTTAAATTTCGGAACACATTGTCCATCTCCACATGGAAATTTATCAGCATTGGGTCTGCAAGAATGTTCTTCACAACGAAATGTCGGATCTTGAAAACAAAGCTCAATATATGAGGCATCTAGTACTTCATCCGATCGATCGAGACAATCGGCATCACCTTTACCTTCTTCCCATAAATCATTTGAAATGCACAAACCATTGTGGCATCGATATTCATCTTCTTTACATTCATTTAATTCCATATCGAAGCAAGATTCCTCATCGAGACCTTCATCGTAACAATCAACATTCCCATCACAAACTTCACGCCAATCAAGACACCAAAACTGACCATTACGATGGCATTTTAGAAAAATATAGCATGGCATCTGAACCATTATATCAGATGACTCGGAGTACGGTTTTCTTCCAAGAAATTCATCTTTAACAATTTGGTTAAAGAACATTGATTCACCAAACTCAAATGAATATTGACAACGAAGACCAAACCATGGCTCAGTACAATTGTAGACATGCTCATTCAATAAAAATTTCGGTTCATTCAAATAGAATTGATATCGTTCAGCCACATCAATTGCAATTGACCACGAGAGAAGTTGTTGTGAAGTGATGTTGGCCAAACGTAGTTCTTCAAAACTTAACTTTTGAGAAAGTGGATTGACAACATCTTCGAATGATTCATTGAAGTTATTTGCTGGACGAAAACAATATGGAATAACTTCATCGATCATATCTAATAATCCTTGATAAGCGACTTCTTTATGATAAATATAATAATAATTCAAACAATCATATTGTAAAGAATTGATTTTCATTGTTTGATCAGTATTATAGAGATTCAATTGACAAGTAGTAATCGCGCATCGAAATAAAACTATCAAAAGAATCTGAAAAGCTATTTCACCTTTCTTAAACGAGATTGCGTTCATCATCGAGGGTGTTTTTTTAATTTTTTATTCTCACTGATTTCAACAGTTTCAGCTTAGAGACACCCAGATTAATGTATATTTATTGAGAGAAAAAGATTTTATGTGTTGAAGTAACTGTGAATAATTATTGTCATTGGTCGTTCTCTATATCATGGATAAAAAACATTCAAAACAGAGTGAAAACACGTTCAAATAATAATATATCCAGATCGACGATCAAACAACAACT